TGCGTGTTTTGAGAGTTCGAGCAAGTCCGTGTTATATTTTCAGACTTGTTGGTGTATTTGGACGGGGGTCCCGAGGAGGCTCATGTGAGATTTGAACCACCCGGATTTAAGTTGAAAAAACCAGAAATTCCAGTTCTCGTTTCTTTCTACGCGAATGCGGAAGGTCCCTCGCGTTCGCGAATAAGGAAAATGGGAGCTGGTTTATTGCCTTTTGCGTTCGCGTGGAGGGTGACGCATTCGCGAAGCCCGGGAGTTTTGGCATGCGTGTTCGCGATGGTAGACTCGCATTCGCGAAAGTGATATGAGATCGGCATGGATTTTTCCCTACGCGTTCGCGAGGGAGATCACGCGTTCGCGAAGGGCAAGCCAGTAAGCCTTCGCATTCGCGAAACCCCTGTCGCGTTCGCGAAGGGTAATTTTAAGGTTGTGGGTTTTTTCCTTCGTGAATGCAAGGCATTCACCGCGTTCGCGAAGAGAGGTTCACTCTACCTAACAGAATGTCTTAAAAACTGGATTTCATCATTTTAAACCCCATTTCTTTCATTCTTGAGCGATTTTGGAGTTTTTTTAAAGGGAATTTCAACTTGTAGCTTGAAGGTAAGTTAATTCTATAAATTTTGAGCTAAATACATAAATTATGGGTAGATTATAACATGTAAATGGTGAAAATCAAGGGTTAGAGGAAAAACCTAGATTTTTATAAAAATGAGATTTTAACCACGAAAATAGTTATGGGAATTGGATGAAAATTGTATATTTGAGTTCTTGAGGGTATGGGTAACGATTTACTCCGAGAATTTCCGGATCCGGTCACGTGGGCCCGGGGTAAATTTTAGGAATTTTACCATTTTGGATAATTTATTTAATAGTCTAATTTTGAATTATTAAGCATGTATTAATTATTTTATACAATATTTAGATAGTTTCGGATTTTTCGGCACCGAATTAGGATTTTTACACGACATCGTGATCGAAAGTGGGCTTTGAGACAAGGTAAGTCTCTTGTCTAATCTTGTAAGGGGAAATTTACCCCATAGCTGATTTAAATTAATAATTTTGCTAATTGTGGGGGCTACGTACGTACGAGGTGACGAGAGTCCGTGCGTAGCTACTATTTATGCTAAAGTCCGGATAGTTTAGGACTCAAATCATAAATTACGTGTGATAATTGTATCCTTTAAGTAACTATAGTAGTAGAACTATATTGTAAGTATTAGAGAAAAATAGTAAAAGTTTGAGATTTCACGTACTTGAATTTTGTGAAAAATCTTTAACTGCTAAATTGAAATTGTACATCCTCTCGTATTAATCTTAAATTATATATATTCTCATTCCGGAGGTACATAAGAAAATATCCTCCTTTCTTGTGGAGCGGGACGAACGTTTCGGCAGTATAGATGCATCTATGGATCGCGTCGCACGTCCCTCGGCAGTGTACACGACACTCTTGATCTGGTCGTACGACCTCGGTAAAAATCGTGCCTGATAATAATAATTACACGATACCTAGGCACTTTAATTGCAGCTTGTAATGTTAATTTATAAATTGGGAATTTATTAAAATTTAAGAATTTATTATTTCTGCTTATTAAGAAAATTGTTGTTATTAGCCTAAAAATCATGTTTAATTAAATATTTTTATTGCAATATTATTGACCCATAGTGAGTGTCAAAGTCGACCTCTCGTCACTACTTATTCGAGGTTAGGTTTGATACTTACCGGGTACACGTTGTTTACGTGCTCATGCTACGCTTGCTGCACTTTTTGTGCAGGACGTGATACAGGTACTGTCAGAGGACCTATCAGAGCACATCCACATTATCCAGAGGCTTAGTGGTGAACTGCCTTTTTGAGTGGTTCTGCAACAACTAGTGCCTCTTCTTGTATTTGTATTATGTCTATTTTATTTCAGACAATATTTAAAATTTTGTGTAATCTACTAGATGCTCATACAATTGTGACACCAAGTTTTGGCACACACTAGTAGAAATTTTTAGATTTATTTATTTTTATTGGTTATTTTAATTTACGAGATCTTTTCATATTGTTTTAATTCTTGCAAGTAAGAAGAGTTTAATTACTCGATTGATTCTTAAAGAATTTAATATTTGTTTAAATCACTAGTTTGCTTGCCTAGCTGTGGTGTGGTGCGTCATCACGATCTATAGGTAAAATTAAATCATGACATTAAATTTATACATTATTTGGTTGGTGGTATAAATTTATCCCTCGATAAATTTATATCTCCAATCAAATAATATATAAATTTTTTATTCTACATCTTATCCCACTTTATACCTCATACCAAACGACCCCTTAAATCCTTAATATGGTATTGTATACTATAACATTATGAAATGAGTAAAAATCAGATAGGAGTAAGAGATAAGGCTAAGGAAAGGGGTAGATAAATGTGGGGCCAAGGAGTGAAGAGACTAGGAGACAGAAGAGAGTGGAATTCACGTGGGAAGTGAATGAAAAAGAAAAGAAAAATGAAAAAAGTGTGGAAGTAAAACCTAAAAAGAAAAAAACTCCTTCTTTCCTATCATCATCGTCCTTTGTATTTTTCCTTTGTCACATAACTCACGTGGACCAAACATGTCGTGATAAGTACCGTTTATTTCGTTTTCAAATGAGAAGAGGTGATTTTCTTTTTAGCCTATTTTAAAATAAATGATATATTTTTAAATTTGGAAATAATTTAACTTTAAATTTTTTTATTTTACTCATTTAAACTTTAATGAGAAGTTTTTATAAACACACAAATAATATTGCCCCATAAAACTTTTACCCTTTTAAGCTTTTAATATCACAAGTTTTAAAAATATTTTTATTTTTCTTAAACTCAGTACCGAATCAAACTAACTCGTGTAAAATGAAATGCCGGGAATATTTTATTGTTAATTAGAGATTTCGAATTCGAATTTTAGTTATATAGATAGAGACACATTTGTTAGGAATTAATTGTTTTAGCCCTCAATATGGGATTTCTCGCAATAAATCTGAATTTAATCGTGTCCCAAAGCGAATACCTAACGCCGAGTGAAAAAACAAGAAAATAGCATGTCATGATTTGTTTACACGTGGTTTATTTTAGGGACGAAGATTTATAACAACAATATACTTTATATGATCTTATGAATGTAATCGGAGAAAAATAATATACATATAACCTTACCTCTATCTTATAAAATAAAGAAAATATTTTCGATAGACCATGCGCTTAATAAAAAAATTAATCATAACAGTTAAATCAAATTATTAACATGCAATATTACTATTTTAAAACAGACTCAAATAGAATTTAAATTTTGACTACGCTTTTAATCACTCTCACGTATCTAAGTTTTTGTTATTTAATTATTTATTTGTTATTCAAATACTTTTATATAGAATCACGATTAATCTATATTTGCACTATATGAGACTTAATAAAAAGAAAACGTTAAGTATTTCATTCATAGAACTCAAATTTAATTTCTTTAATTAAAAGTAGAAGATTTTTAGCTTTCACTTCGAGCCACAATTTGAATAGATTCAAAATCTTAGTTATTTTAAATAATTAAATTCTAAATTTATAATTTATACATACAAAAAATAATTTTTTTAAAGATAAATATATAATTAAAATCAAAATTACTAATTTGAGTGAACTTATTAGTTGCTCCCTCGGTTCACTATTACTTGTTCATAATGAGTTAGGAACGCTTCTTAATAAATGATAAATGAAATACATATTTTATCATAACACTTATAGTAATAATATTTCACCCGTTTTAATTTAGATTAGGTAGTTTGATTTGATAAAATATTTATGATTTTTTTTTTTTGAAATATGTGGTCTTAATAGTGACCACATATTAGTGACCATTTTATCTTTTTTATTTTAGTCCAAAATAAGTGTCAATTTAAATAATCAAAAAATAATTATTTTATTTCTTAAAAAATTTGCCCTTATTTACATATTCAAATGTGTCAAGATAACAATTAATTAAGATTAATTTAGTGAATATATCTTTTTTCTAAGAGTTTGTATTTTTTTAATAGGTATATAAAAGGTAAAATAGTAACTTATTGTGGACCGGAGTAATATTTTCTAGATTTAGCTGTTGACATACAAAAATAAAATTTTATTTTTAATATAATAAACAAATAAAAAGTAAATAAAATAAATATAGTTTAGCAGGCCCCGCCTAACACGACTTTTGGTGGTATCTAAGTTGCCCGGATTCATTAGTTATTGTGACAAATGAGATGACTGTTGAAACAGACAATCCCCACTGTGTTTGTTCGTGCGTGGGTCCCAGGAAACATACGGAGCTCGTGCATGTTGTGTCCTGTTGTCGCTTTATTACCCGACATGACATCTCTATACAATCATTTGAACTCTTTACTTTACCTTTCTTTCAGGCCCCACATAGCCTTTCCACGATTTTCTCGCGCGTGTGAATTCATCAGCACTTTCATATTTTCTTTTCACCTTTTTATTTCCTCATATATAGAGTACTAAAAATAGAGGAGTAATATCATTTTATCATATCATTGGATTCGAACAAGGCAGAGACGGACAAAGGAATTTAGCTTTATGTGTTCGAGATTTAGACTCTAGAATATACCTTAAGCTATTATATTATAATATTATCGAACAAAATACGAATAATGATATTTTAATATATATGTAACAAGTGCCGAACCATCTAACATAATATATATTCAATAAATATCACCATTACAATTGTACCCGACAGGATGTCTTGTTTTGAAAACGATCAATAATAGCATCATTAGGTACACTTTCAAATACTTCATCTTCTATATAACAAACTAAGCAGTCATTCAAAAATTCATCATCAATGTTGCTACGCAAATCATTTTTGATGTACTTCATTGGAGAAAAAGCTCTTTCTACCGTTGCAGTAGCGACATGCTATATTAGACTTAACTTCACAAGCAAAAACACAAGTCTCCAAGTCTTGTACAAATCTGTTTCAACTAGTGTTTATGAAAGATCTCCAAGTCCTTTCAAGTTAGAGAAATCAATATCTTCTTTCACAAAGAGAATATAGTTGTCAAGCTCTTCAAGCTTTGAACCACTAAACTCATGAGGATAAAGTGTAGCAAGTTTCATAATTCTGTCTTTATCAGAATTTGTAAAAGAATTATCCGGACTCAAACTAGCCATACTAAGAAGTTGATTACTATTCACCGCATCAAAATGACTGTTTAGCTCCGAAAGTTGCAAATCAATAACAGTATTAAAAACTTCGACACGCAAATGATGAGGATGTGTAACACTTGAACTCCTACGCTTTGACTTTCCAAGATGATAGTTCTTATCCATTTCAGAGATCACAATATCATGCTTGGCACAAAATGAAGAGGCGTCATCTATCAAAGATTCCCATTTTGATTCTCTCATCACTTGCAATTGCCTCTTGGCGAAACCAACAAGTTTCATAGCATTACAATATACTGATCTTTTCTTTGCAAAGCCATATTCAAATCATTTGTGATTGCTAATAATTTTAACATCAAATGCATCATATGCACAAATTCAAAATATCTTATGTCATTCACTAGACTTTTTGCCATTGATCTCTCAAGATAATTTGCACCCTCACTTGCAAGAAACTCAAGTACATTAATGATTGACGAGAATAATGCAATAAAGTTACACATTGTCTTAAAATGAGAACCCCATCGGGTATCATCTGGCCTTTGGAGTCCAAGTTTTTGATTTAGTCCACTTCTCGTATGAACTTCACCAAGCACTTGTAGCTCCTCTAGTTTTTTTCGCTTGATCCTCTCATAGCATATCCCTACGATTAAAAGAACTTCCAACAATATTCAAGACATTAACAACAATATCAAAAAATTGATCTACATCACAATATTTTTTTTGTAACGGCTACAGGAGTCAATTGCAATTGATGGGCAAAGCAATGTAGATAATATGCCGAAGGATTGTCTTTCATAATTAAAGTTTTAAGACTATTGATTTCTCCTTGCATGTTACTAGCTCCATTATAACCTTGTCCCCGTATTTGAGATGGACTCAATGAGTGCTCTAAAATCAAATCATATATTTCCTTTTGTAATGACGATGAAGTTATTTTTTAAACATGAACAATACTAAGGAATCGCTCAATAAGTTTTTCCTCCTTGTTGACATACCGCAGAACAAGAGCCATTTGTTCCTTATGAGAGACGTCTGTATATTCATCAACCAAAATTCCAAAGTAATCTCCATTTAAATCTTCAACTATTGCTTTAATTATTTCTTTCGCACAAGCATTCACGATCTTTTTTTGGATATTTGGAGCAATCATCATGTTATTTTGTGGAGCACTTTGTAGCACAACTTTTTCACTTCATCATCCTTATCTGCATACCATTGTAAGAGTTCTATAAAATTTCCTCTTTTAGTAGAAGTTTCACTTTCATCGTGGCACCGGAAAGACATTTCTTGTTTTAAAAGAAATCTTGCCACATCAATCGAAGCATTCAACTGAACGTGATAATCACATTTAATTTTTTCAGACTGCTTATAAAAATAGGTTAGAATTGATTGTTCTTGATTAATGAAATCTCTCGTCATCTTAAAACACCGATTGTGAAGACTATTCACCTCTCCAATATGTGCGTTAAGCCTTTCTGTAGCTTTATTCCAAACTTTAAAACCACTATTTGTGAAAGAATTCCCAACTTTTCCATGTCCCCCGTGCTCATTTTTAAACAAGTAACAACATAAGCAAAATGGTGCATAAACTTTAACATTATATTCTAACCATCGAGAGTACGAAGTGTTAAACCATTCAAGATTAAATTGAAGCATAAATCCACCAAAATCGTATTTTGGAAAACTATAATTACGAGGTTGACAAGGTCCTTGTTGAATATAATACCTCCTCACTCGGTCACATAAATTCAGAGGATACTCTGAAATTTGCTTTCTTTCTGCGGGATCAGGTTCAAGATTCAAATTCAACATTTTCTCTTTGTTTGATCATGTCGAAGGATTGATATTGTCATGAATAATTTGACTTGGAGAAGAACTCGGCGTAAGAGGACTAGAACCAGAACCAGAACTTTGAGGAGTTGGAATAGCCTTGAAAATTTTCATGATCATATCCACCCTCACTAAAAAGATCCTAAAAATCATAAAATATAAATAACACTTCAAGTTATAATTGAAACTTCATCTAACCAAATCGATATTTCAATAACTTAAGTACTTATGAAGTTGGAGTTAATATGATACAATAACTAGATTCTTCGGCACAACAAGAATGGAGTTATTCCCTAGGCCTAACTGTCATAGCATGTGTACTCATGAACTTTCTGTTTCAAATTCTTAGAGAGTCGTCCAAAAGAAAATAAAAGAAAAGAAAAGTAAGATTAGTTTTGGAAAGGATTGACAAAAAGTTAAATTTATCCTTAAAACACAAATGTTGAAGCACAAAAATAATCATAACAGTTTATCACTAAAATTCACTATGAGCTAAACATGAGTTTAACAGTTAAAATAAATGAATCCAAAAGAAAATCTTTCATTAGTGAAGTAATAGAGTAAAACATTTGACCCGTTTCTTATATGGAACCGAAATGCAAGAACCAAGAATTAGCATGGGCGAATCCTGTAACTTATAATTAATAAATATTATTGCATTATTATTGAGAAAGAGCAATAGAGGCATACCATCAAAACTAAAGAAGAGGATTGATTGCAGTTTATGTCCAAGAAGAAGAGCCTTTGCTTTGATTCTTTTGAAACCCTAACTTTAAAAATTTGGGAACCGATGAACCTTCTAAAAAGTGGAAAGTTTTGATCTCTTAAAGCTTTATGAAGACCAATATTTTTATAATTATTAAAAAGCCCCACAAGTTAATGAAATACACATTAAAGAATAAAATTAATTAGGTGTGTCCTCATCTTTTAAGGATAAGAAACGGACCTCTTTAAATGGGAAGGGGCAAAAAAAGCCCATAAGTAACAAAGAAGTCAAACAGTAACTCAAACAAAATTGCAATAAAAATTGTGGACACAAAGATTCGAACTCCAGTCTTCCCTGCAGTAAGCGGAACTTTGCCCAACAATTTTACCACTGAACACATAGCCTCATTTAGTCTATGGATTCAAACACTAATATATGATCATATTTTAGTAATTTTGCACAGTATATTCCCGGGTTCTGTCGAAAGTTATGGGTTCAATTGAACCCGTGTCTAGAGGGCTAGTCGACTAGATCCGCCCCTAGAATCAGGGACAGAACTAAAATATTATAGGTATGTGTTCGATCGAACGATGAGATCCATTCTCATGTCTAAAAGATTTGAGGCAGAACCCTCACAATCTTCACAATGCCTAACCTCTTGTGGGGTGGCTCAAAAGTAAGTCCCTCACTTGTTACGACTATAGCGGGATCTAGCACTTTACTCGTCCCTCTCTTATTTGGTTTCTGTTTTCTTGTTGGTGATTCCTCTCACCCACGAAGGTTGCCTAAAGTAACATTATCTCCATCGGTTGCCATTTTCTTAACCTCGCGATGACAAGTGGTATCGGGAGTAAAACTGGCGTTTCAGTTCAAACTTGAACTGTTCCCAACTCTTGATGGAGCAAATTCCCTTCTCCATATCGGCTTTCTTCCTCCTCCAACACTTGTCATGGGCCGATTGTCAAAGGGCTACATGAGGACAACTAGATAGCATGTATCCTACTCTCAGCTTCAGTCCTAACCAAGAAATAGGCACAATGTTATACTTGAACCAACGCAATCACACAAACTCAAAAGTTGGGAAGATAATGAACTGAAAGACACACAAAGATTGGGAGGCCAAGGCTAATTTTCGGATTTACTTGATATACAAAAGGGAAATACAACTGTATCAGATCTGCCTTCTAACAAGGTCTATACATGTCTATTTATACAATGAATGTCCACTGGCATATTTGCGGGGAATGGACCCGTCCAGCTGTGTAGCATAACTTTCTGCTAGCATCAAGTGATCTCCATGATTATGTTGGCAGCCTTTGTGCCAATGGTCCTATCCAGCTGTTGTGCCCAAGTTCTTGCTGGCAAAGTGTTGCCTCCCAGATTGTCCCGGCATGTTGTGGTCCTACCTAGCTGTGCAGCACATGTCTTTGATGGCAAAGAGTTGCCTCCATGATTGTCCTAACAGGATATGGTCTTACACAGCTGTACGACATGTGATCTTGCTGGCAGAGTGTGTCCTTCATAATGGCCCTGACATCCTGTGGGATTGTTGCCTCCATGTGCAAAGACCCCCTGGTCTTTGGCAGCCAAGTTTGGCTCGGCTTGCAGCCCTTTAGACGGGAAATTTAGTCGGGAAATTTGCGGGGCGGTACACTCTCCCCCACTTGAAATGGCGATAACCTCGGCGCCACAAAGTTTCAAGTAATTATGAACTTGATCTTTGAATGTCCATAACTCTTTGTATTTTTCCCACGATGCCTTATCGGGTGGTTGTCCCTTCCAATGGACAAGAAATTGGGCGCATGAATTGCCCCAACCTATGCCTTGTACAACTTGATGGTTGATAATGGCCTCGACTTCCTTGTCGACTACCGAATGGGTTATGAAAATATTTGGTTGGCAGGATTGCCCCCATTCCACATTACCCTTGTCTCCAAAAGGTGCCTTTGACGGACTGACATGCCCTGACTCAAGTAACTCTTCGGGTTGCTACCTTGATTCTTCCAACTTCGGAGGTACCATGCGATACAGACCTATGGCTTGTGGCTTTGCCCCCGGTATGAAGTCCTTATTCTCCTTAAGGACTTGTTGTTCACATGGAGGGAAGGCTTCATCAACCTTGACCTCCTTAGTCTTTGTCCCAAATCGCCAAAACAGTGGCTCATTCTTCATTGAAGTCATTCACGATTTGCATCGCGGACAGTTGACTTACAACTTGCGGCACCCGAATTATCGGTACCACACATGGACCCTTCAGGCCATAAATGTAAATTTGGTTGAGATTTGGGCAGATGAAGTCCTTCACTTCATCCCAATAGTCCATCCCAAATAGCATATCTAATACTTCCATGGGAGCGACAAAGAAACTCACTCTTCGCTGCCAAGCTCCTAAGTCGAGCTGCACATCACGTGCAACTCCGTATACGTTGGTGAGGCCGGTGTTTACTACCTTCAACACCGAACTGCTAGGACCAGACGTAAGGCCAAGTGACTTAGCCTTTGCTTCAGATACCAAATTGTTTGTCGCGATGGTGTCCTCCATGATACGGACAAACTATCTGTTGCATCCACGAACAGGGATCCTAACTTCATCGATTGAGGGTCCTTGCCTACCACAGTGTTGCCTGATGAGTTGGTAATATCATACTGACCTTGAGCAACCTGCTTTAAAGCAGGCTCTTTGGCCAGCACCGCACCCAATATCATGTTGCTACGATGAGTAATGTTCGGATGTTGTTGAACTACTTTCCCGGCTTGTGCTTTAACTTGGACTCTCTCCTATGTTTCCCTTCGTGCGGTCGCAATTAAGGCACCGAGTTTCTTCAAAGAAGGACAATCCTTGTAGCCATGACTAGGGTCCTTAAAAAGGTAACAACCGTTGTGGGGATCAACTTCTTTTTTCCTTTGGTGATATATGTCGCGCCAATGATACACCTTGTTGTCTTCTTCTTGGGAATCGTGACCCGAGGAAGCTGTTTGCCTTTTCTTGTCTCAATATCCATGGTCTCTATCAGGTTTGAAGTTAGTATCCTTTACCTTTGTGGCTTCTGTACTAAAATCATTTAAGGACTCAGCCACCGCGATAGCTTCATTGACATTTGTGACTTGACGTTGTTGCAATTCCTATTTGGCCCAGTATTGAAGGCCATCTATGAAATAGAACAACAAGTCCTCACTTGTTAGGTTGGGAATCTGCAGAATGAGTTTAGTGAATTCTTTCACGTACTCACGAATGGAAGTTATTTGTTTGAGCTCTCTCAACTTCCGACGTGCCTCATTGATAACATTTTGGGGGTAGATCTAGCATTTCAGTTCAAACTTGAATTGTTCCAGCTCTTGATGGAGCAAGTTCCCTGCTCCATATCGGCTTTCTTCCCCCTCCACCACAACATAGCGGTGTCGGCTAGGTACATCGTAGCTGCCCCGGATCTTGGCAGCCTCATTAGGTTAGGCATGGTAAAGATTGTAAGGGTTTTGCCTCAAATCTTTAAGACATGAGAATGGATCTCACCGAAGCTGGTTTAGCTGCGTTAAACCGGCGCATTGAAGTTGTTCAAAGCAACTTATGTTCGCTTGGGTCTACTGCCCTAGGAGACGTCAAGGAGACATTAGATCAA